TCATTTTGAGACAGGGTCTCACTAAGTTGCTTAGGACCTTGCTAAGTTGCTGAGGCTGGCTTTGAACTTGTGATTCTCCTACCTCAGCCTCCTGAGCTGAGATTATAGGCATGCACCACTGCTCCCAATGTTGTTGTTTTTTAACTGCATTTCTCAGATCAGTGAGTCTAAGCAAGGCTGTTTTCTGTTTCTTTTGTGTGGGTTTTCTGAGTTTCCCATTTCTTAGCTGCGGCTGCCCTTCCCCACCTTGTCCCCTTCCACCTGTCTGAAGGTATCCATGTGAAGAAGTACCCTTGAGTCCTCCAGCATCACTCCCCCCAGGAAAGGAAAGGGCATTTGGGGGTGGGCGTGGCTGTGTTCTTTCACATTAGCAGTCCTGGTAGCTTGATCCTAGTCCCAGGTACTAAAGATTGAATGTGAACACTGGATATCACATCTGTTCTTGTCTTGGGAAGTAGACATTGTCCTTCAGGACGTACAACCTTGGGCAATCTCAGTTTTTCTATCTTTAAAATGGGAATAAAATAGCCCCCATGTCATAGAGCGGTTATCAGGATCGAGGTGGGCTTGAGCCCACAGGCCTTCCCACAGTGCCTGACTCAGGAAAGCCATGGCTGCAGTTACGAGGCTTTAACTTTAAAAAGCTTTGGGAAATAAAGGCACAGAAGAGGAAATGAAGTCATCTATAACCTCCTCTCCTAGAAATTGCTGTCGTAAAAATTTTGATAGAAATACCTCATGTTTTTATATGCATACCCATATATGCTTCGTTCACTTAGCATCTGATCATTTTCCCATGCCCATAAACAATTTCTTTGAAGAAATCATTTTTTTTACAACAACACATGGAGCTCTGTACACTATAACTTATTTAGTCTCTGTTTTTGCCTGATTATTTCCATCATTTTTTTTTTCTGTTATGAATAATCCTATATCTCCAAATAAGGTTGTTTCCTTGGGATAAATTCCTAGGATGGAGAAATCGCTGAGTCAAAGGGCTTGTGCACCTTCGGGGCTCCTGCTGTCCTGCGGGGTGCCCGTGGGAAGGCAGTATGTGCTTCATCTCCCTGGGACAGGGCAGGAGCACCCAGAGTTTCCAGACCAGTGGTCTCTGGGGATACCCTGTGGGTTTTTCATGGAGGCAACAGTTTCTGGCTGTCTCTATTCTCTTTGTTTTTTCTTTCCTTCCCTTTGTTTCCCTTCTTGGTTTTCTGCCAAAGAGCCCCTTGTGAAAGGACCGCCTAATTAACCCTGTGCTAATTAACAATTTAAAATTACACAGTGCGACTGTTCATGTTTAATTCTCTGGGAGCCGGAGCAACAGCAGGGGCCCCCTCCCCTCCCTCATAACCGCCTCCCCTCGCCGGCCTCTGTAACTGTTGCTTTCTCCCCTTTTCTAGTCTTCTCCATAACTGTCTCCTTCTGGAAATGCCATAGAACTGTCACAGCACATCTTTTTAGCTTAGGGAAGGGAGAGGGACGCCTTGATTAACAGGGGCCCACGGGGCACATGGTATAGTTTTATCCTTCTGTGGGCACAGACTTTGAAAAGTAGAAGCGAATACCTGCAGAGATGGGGTGGGCTTCGCCGGGGGAACTGCATACACTGGGAGATGGATAAGGGGTGGGGTGTTCTTGATGAAGGTGTCAGAACTTTTCTTCTGAAGTTTCCAGTGGCAGATTTAAAGGCTCAGAAGACAGGGGGAGAGGGAGAGGGAGAGGGAGAGAGAGGGACAAGGGTGCACATGTGCGCATATGTACGGATACTATCAAGATCCTTGTGTGTCTTGTCTTGGGTGTTGTCATTGGAGAGATGCACTTTATTAAAATCCGACTGAATTCTTAAACAATGGTAATGAGTGTAACACTGGGGGTTGCGAGAGCCCCCCTGGACATGTAAAGGGAAGTTGGGGTGTGTTCAGTGGAAGGAGAAGCAGGCTGCAGGAAGGGCTGAGGACTCGTGTGTGAGCCAGGGATGGGGACAGGGCACACAGCCTGGGGGGCCTGAGGAGAGAGGCACGCGACCTCTGGCTGGCGGGGCTGCCTGTGAAAGCGCGGGGACCCTCTTGGTTCCCAGGCTGCCCTCTGTAACTGAAGATCATTGATTTTACGGGAAACCGTGTTTACAGACAGAGTGCTGATCGACCTGCCGAGTTGACTTCTGCCTCCTTAAGTAAGAACTACCTTTTTCTTATTGACTGGCTGATAAACAGCGAGCTCGGCGGCCGGCTGGGTGGGAGAGTGGTGGATGCCCCGAGGTCCTTGAGCTGCAGGACCGGGCAGGATGAAGAGATTTCTTCATGTCAGGGCTCCTGTCCGCCTTGTCCATTCCCATCCCTGTACCTCCCGGGGACTGGGTGGTAGGGCTAAGGCTGACCCTTCACTGGTTATCTGGCAGTACAGGTGCCAAGCACAGATGAGCCAGCCACCTGGCCAAGATGTTGTGAGGCAGAGTCTCCAAGTTTGATTCACATCTCCTAAGAATGGTATTAAAAAATGCAGATTCTAATGGTAGGGGTTGCTGGGAGCTAAGTCTGCATTTCCCAAGCTCCCTACTGAGGACGGGGCTACTAGTCCATGAGCCACACTTGACTCTTTAGCAAGGTTGCCAAGGGTTCTGCTCCTCATGGCCACCAGGCGTGGAAAGGAAGCCCAGAGCAAGCAGCATGGATCCAGAAATGAAATCCTCCTTTCCCACCTGTATCTCAGTGGGCCATCACCCCTGTGAATGAGCAGCCCTGGTGTCACCACCACAGGGTCATGTCTTTCAGAAGTTGTCATAATGTCATCAGGTCTTGACACTTTCTGCTTTGTAATAAAAAACTAAGGGCATTGTTTTTTTAAAGTCTGAGCTCCTTAGCTGGATAGTTTATGGAAGAGGAGGAGGAAGAAGAGAGCAGAGCAAGAAAAGCCCACCAATTAATTGGTAAACGCTTGCAGGTTTCTCTAGCCCAGCCCAGGCTGGAGAGGAGATTGGCTTTGCTGTCGATAAACAAGTCCCTGGTGCAGCATCAAAGCTGTTCTCCTTTATCAATCGTGGCCTCCCCTTCCCGCATGTTCCTGTAACTTACCAAGCATTTATGACATTGATTTTACAATTGGGCTGTTAACCCTCCCGCCCCTTCAGGCCTGCCAACCTTTTTGGCCTGAGCTGTCAATCAGATGTTGTCCAGCCAATCAGGAGCATCCTTAAGAAGAGCCTCTCTGGATTCTCACCTGTATCCCAGCTAAGCCTTGAGAGAAGTCCCATTGCATCTGCCATTGGATTTGGTTTAGTGTAGTCACCTCTGTTTCAAACGAACATGTCTTTTCCAAGGCATGCAGAACTTTGTTGACATGGAGTCTGACATTATAAATTGAAAAGTGAGTGAGTGTGCATGTGTGTTTTAAGTAAATCATGGCACATTCTTCCAAAAAGTTATTTCTCCTGAGACTTCTGGTAAATATGACTTCTCCATCTTTTCCCGAGGGGGAGCTGTTGGCTCACTGTGCAGTCAAGAATCATGAAAAAAGAATGAAAAGATGGGGATTGCAGAGGATAGAGGGAGACTAAGCAGCTACAGCCTTCATCTGCTGATGAAGATGAGATGAGATGAATGAGATGGTGGGTGGAGACGTGGCCAAGTGTCCTCCGAGGACGAGGAGCAGGGGAAGATGGCCTGGGGTCTGTGGGTGAATGATCAGGCTGTGCAAAGTGCTAAGTTGCTTGTAGCAGTATCTCGACAAAAGTGCCCCAGCGACGAAGTTGCCACAGGAGCCTGCTGGCTGGTGATCTGGTGCCGCCTTCCCCAGGGACACAAGGTCTCAGAGAGCAAGTTCAGATCAGTGGCATTCGGATGCGGAAAAGCCCTAGGGCTGCAAGACAGCTGCTTGGGTACCAACTAATATCCTAAAAGGCAGGTGTGGAACTGGGGCTTGCTGAGCCCAGCTGCTATCTGGACTTGGGCTAAGATCAAGATAGCAAAAGCCACCAAGCACACTGTCAGTGGGCTTCTGCAGACAGGATGAGGTAGAACTTTCTGAGGGGGAGTTGCCAAATCGAGAATCTGGCTGGTTCTCATTGGAAATATCAAACTCATGCTTTGCATCTACATATTCTTAGTCTAAAAGCAACCAAGTCCAGGGAGCTCTCAAGTTTGGGGTGGAGCAGATGGGAATTTGGGGACCTGTCTTCTGCTTGGTGGTCAGAATTGGCACTGGGCCTGTTTGGAGATTTAGCCCTTCTGTTTTACTGGTTAGGGAATGGGACTGATGCTTATGAGAGTCCTGCAGAGGAGGGATGCAGCCACTAGTCTTCCTGTGGACATCGTGGGGGTGTGTCCAAGCCTGTAGGCTGGCTCTCTGAACCTTGTAGTTTTCAGAGATCCTCTTTGCCAAAGTAGACGCATGGTCAGTAAAAGCAGCAGCAGGGATTTCTCTACATCAGCCAACTTGTCCTAGTTGTCCATCCTCTTTTTGAGGATGCTAAACATTCCTCCACTTTGTCCCTACCTGGTGTCCCCCTGTCCCACCGACAGTGCAGTCAGCCCTGGATGACTGTGTGTGGGTCATCTGTATGTGGGAGGCCCTGGATTCTGTGACCTCCTTTTGGGGCTGGAGAGGTGACAGCCCTCCTGCACTGTGGCTCATTGCCGGCCCTGACTTGAAGCTGTGCTGGCAAACCGTGGCCATTGGAACTGGTCTCCAGGGGTAGAAGAAGAGGGCCACCTGAAGTCAAAGACGTGTGCTCCTGACCCCTTTTCTCCGTGCCCCTCCCCTTGCTTGGACCCGGCGGTGATGCCCACAGGTGCTGCTGGCCCTGTGCGTGCTGGCCTGCGTGGGGCCAGGTCCCCAGGCCTGCCTGGTGCCAGGCTGGCCCTGGGCTCTGTGTTGTGGGTGTGGACAGAAGCCTCGTAGAGCGCTCCGTGTGCGCGGGACCTTAGCCTCGGCCCTCCTAACCTCTTTCCTTTCTCTCTCTCTTTCCCTTCTCTCCCTCCTCCCCCCTTGCCTCCGCCCTTCAGGTCCGATCCTTACTGGGTGCAATGAAAGCTCCACGCAGGCCTTACCATGGAAGGCTGTGACTCGCCCGTCGTCTCGGGGAAGGACAATGGGTGCGGTATCCCTCAGCACCGGCAATGGACTGAACTCAACAGCACCCACCTCCCCGACAAACCCAGTAGCATGGAGCAGCCCACAGGCGAGAGCCACGGGCCCCTGGACGGCCTGAGGGCCCCCTTCAATGAGCGCCTCGCGGAGAGCAGCGCCTCGGCCGGGGCCCCCGCCGAGCCCGCCAGCAAGGAGGTGAGCTGCAACGAGTGCGCCGCCTCCTTCGCCAGCCTGCAGACCTACATGGAGCACCACTGCCCCGGCGCGCGCCCGCCGCCGCCCCTGCGAGAGGAGAGCGCCAGCGACACCAGCGAGGAGGGCGACGAGGAGAGCGACGTGGAGAACCTGGCCGGGGAGATCGTCTACCAGCCCGACGGCTCCGCGTACATCGTGGAGAGCCTGAGCCAGCTGACCCAGGGCGGGGGCGCGTGCGGCAGCGGCAGCGGGCCCGCCCCCTCGCTCTTCCTGAACTCTCTCCCCGGGGCGGGGGGCAAGCAAGGGGACCCTTCGTGTGCTGCACCCGTGTACCCGCAGATCATCAACACTTTCCACATAGCCTCATCCTTCGGGAAATGGTTTGAGGGCTCAGACCAGGCTTTCCCGAATACCTCAGCCCTGGCGGGGCTCAGCCCCGTCCTGCACAGCTTCCGCGTTTTTGACGTGCGACACAAAAGCAACAAGGATTACCTGAACAGCGACGGTTCTGCCAAAAGCTCCTGCGTATCCAAAGATGTTCCCAACAATGTGGACCTGTCCAAATTCGATGGCTTTGTGCTCTACGGCAAGAGGAAGCCCATCCTGATGTGTTTCTTGTGCAAACTCTCCTTCGGGTACGTCCGTTCATTTGTGACCCACGCGGTGCACGACCATCGAATGACCCTGAGTGAAGACGAGCGGAAAATTCTTAGCAATAAGAACATCTCCGCTATCATCCAAGGGATCGGCAAAGACAAGGAACCCCTTGTAAGTTTTCTGGAACCAAAAAACAAAAACTTTCAACACCCTTTAGTTTCCACAGCTAACCTCATAGGCCCCGGACATAGTTTTTATGGTAAATTCAGTGGCATTCGAATGGAAGGGGAGGAGGCTCTCCCAGCCGGCTCTGCCACTGGCCCTGAGCAGCCCCAGGCTGGTCTCTTGACCCCCAGCACCCTCTTGAACCTTGGCGGGCTCACCAGCTCGGTCCTGAAGACCCCCATTACCTCAGTCCCCCTGGGGCCTCTGGCTTCCAGTCCTACCAAATCCTCAGAGGGCAAGGACTCTGGGGCAGCTGAAGGAGAGAAGCAAGAAGTGGGCGACCCCGATTGCTTCTCCGAGAAAGCAGAGCCAGCCGAGGAGGAGGAGGAGGCGGAAGAGGAAGAGGAAGAAGAAGAGGCGGAGGAGGAGGAAGAAGAGGAGGAGGAGGAGGAAGAGGAGGAGGAAGACGAGGGTTGCAAAGGACTCTTTCCAAGTGAGTTGGACGATGAGCTGGAGGACAGGCCCCCCGAGGAGCCCGGGGCCGCGGCAGGTGGTAGCAGCAAAAAGGACCTTGCTCTCTCAAACCAAAGCATTTCTAACTCCCCCTTAATGCCTAATGTGCTCCAGACCCTGTCAAGGGGCACAGCTTCTACTAGTTCTAATTCCGCTTCTTCCTTTGTTGTCTTTGATGGTGCGAACAGGAGGAATCGTTTAAGCTTTAACAGTGAGGGCGTCAGGGCCAATGTGGCAGAGGGCGGCAGGAGGCTGGACTTCGCTGACGAAAGTGCCAATAAAGACAATGCCACAGCACCAGAACCAAATGAAAGCACAGAGGGCGACGATGGGGGCTTTGTCCCCCATCACCAGCACGCTGGCTCCCTCTGCGAGCTGGGGGTTGGGGAGTGCCCCTCGGGGAGTGGCGTGGAGTGCCCCAAATGCGACACGGTCCTGGGCTCCTCCCGCTCGCTGGGCGGCCACATGACCATGATGCATTCTCGTAACTCGTGTAAGACACTCAAGTGCCCCAAGTGCAACTGGCACTATAAGTACCAGCAGACGCTGGAGGCACACATGAAGGAGAAGCACCCGGAGCCTGGGGGCTCCTGCGTCTACTGCAAAAGCGGGCAGCCCCACCCCCGGTTGGCACGAGGCGAGAGCTACACGTGTGGTTACAAGCCTTTCCGCTGCGAGGTGTGTAACTACTCCACAACGACCAAAGGCAACCTCAGTATTCACATGCAGTCCGACAAGCATCTCAACAACATGCAGAACCTGCAGAACGGAGGCGGGGAGCAGGTCTTCAGCCACACCGCTGGGGCAGCAGCAGCAGCGGCCAACATCAGTAGCTCCTGCGGGGCCCCCTCGCCCACCAAACCAAAAACCAAACCCACGTGGCGGTGCGAGGTGTGTGATTACGAGACCAACGTGGCTAGGAACCTCCGCATTCACATGACCAGTGAGAAGCACATGCACAACATGATGCTGCTGCAGCAGAACATGACCCAGATCCAGCACAACCGCCACCTGGGCCTGGGCAGCCTGCCCTCGCCCGCAGAGGCCGAGCTGTACCAGTACTACCTGGCCCAGAACATGAACCTGCCCAACCTGAAGATGGACAGTGCCGCCTCTGATGCCCAGTTCATGATGAGTGGATTCCAGCTGGATCCCACCGGGCCCATGGCCGCCATGACGCCTGCTCTAGGTGAGGCTGACCATGTGTTTGTCTGTTTTAAGGGTTCACTGGGAAAAGTGGAGATGGGCTGAGGGAGTCCGGTTGGTTTTTACCTCCTTGAGTTGCCTTGTGTAAAGTGGAGTGTCTTCCAATCAAGTCTTTTTTTCCTCAAGAATCCCCTGAACTCTGTGTACATATGGAAGATCTTATGCACTCAACAGAGCTATGATTGTACTCTGGCTACATAGGGCCAGGATTAAAATTTAAGTGTTTCCTCTAGTTTTTGGCTTATGGTCAACCTTCCTTTCTATTCCCATTCTGTCCTTTCTCTCTTTCTCAATTTGAAAAATCGCCATAATCACTCAAAACTTTTGGGTTCCATTAAATATTTATTAAAACTTACAGGAAACTGTAGCTGGGACAATCATCTCAATAAGAGGAATAGGGACAATTATCTCAATAATTTAAATCGGGACAATCATCTCAATAAGAGAAATTTGAAACCGTAGCATACCTTATTCCAATAACCAAAGGCTGGTTTTTCTGCTGAACTGAGAGCTACCCAGAGATTTCTCAGAGTTCTCCTTGTGTTTATGAGGATCTTGATGAAAGAGACGTGTTCTTCTTTATTATTTTGGATGATGGTGATTAGTGTAGTTGGGAATTAATTGGGAATTAAATTGCCCTGGGGACATCCTAATGAGTGGTGTGATAGATGAAAAATGAATGAATTGTAAAGTTGTCTGTCAAAGAAAGCTAAGTTTGAATAGCAGTTGGGAGCTGGTTAATGGAGCCTTTTGCTGCCCTGAGTGGTAAGCTGTGCTTTAGAGGAGCTGGCCATGTCCAGTCACTAGTTTGTTAGTTGGCTGTTGCTGTAACAAATGCCAGAGATAGATAGCTTATAAAGATAAAAGGTTTATCTTGGCTCACAGCTTTGAAAGCTTCAGTCCACAGTCAGTTGGCCTCACACTCTTTTGGGCCTGTGGTGAGGCAGTACATCAGGGCAAGAGTACAGGGCAAAGGAAGCTGCTTATCTCACGGTGACCAGGAAGCGAGAGGAAGAGGGAGGCCAGGGGTCCCCACATCCTTTTCATGCGTACATACCCCTATGGGCCTGAAGACTAGGCCCCACCTCTTAAAGGTTCTACCACCCAGTAGTGCCACATTCTGGGGAGAAGGTCTTTTGACACACGGGCCTTGGAGGGACGTTCATCCAAACCATAGCATCAAGTCTTAACAATTGACTTAATGTATCTACAATAAAGGCCAAGGGTATATAGGACCTGGATGCCGAAAACTGGGTCTGTAGGTAGAGTCACAGCCACTTTTGTGAGAATCATTTTAGCAAGAAAGGTTACAGACTGGTTTGTGAAGGCCAGCATGGTGGATGAGCCACTCTCGCACCCACCTCTTATGCCTCAGTTGGGGGTCCTGCCTGATTGCCATTCCCTGACTGCTAACTAGCCCTGTTGGGATCAGCAGCAATGGCCTGAGTTAAGAGGTATCCCATCACTGACGTGGGAATGAGTTGTTCTTGGCAGCAAAGTGTGAGCAAGTGCCTTCATTCGGAGATGGTTTAGGTGGATACCAGGGGGTGAGACCTCACTGGCCAGCGGGTCTCTGTTTGTCTGGCGTTTCAGTGATAATATTTTTTGCTGATGAATTATATTTGAAAGCATTCTCTTTGCTTTTCCTGCTTTGTATTTATTTCACTTTGAATTTGTGATATTTTAATCTTGTGTTCCATTTTGAAACATTAACCCATTGATCCTTTATGATCCTTTATTACTAAATGTCCCAAGGATGTCTTACCCACTGGTTAATCATGAAGACAGAGGGATCCGTCATGTTCTTTGTCTCCATGCACCATAGAAGATGGGCTTCGATGCTCTTAAAGTTGTTTTGTTGTTGGTTTAAGCCACTTGGAATTGGAGTTTTCTAGTCTGGTGATTTAAAATCTGGGGAGGTAGATCTTTGGAGTCAAGCAGACATGATGAGGATGGAACAAAGACAGAAAATGGAGGGGTTCATATTGGGTCAAACTGAGGTCTGTTTCATTACTTTTAAAATGGGTAATGAAGGCTTGAATTGCGAAGGAGAGAAACGATTTTGCTTTTCTACCAAGTACCCATGACTCTGCAGTCCATCACACATTATCCTGGGTATTGTGGTAGGTACAGAAGAAACAGGGGAATGAATCCTGGTGTTCTAGATACCTGCGGGAGAGCCACACATAATTCCTGAAGAGAATAGAGCTCTTCCCTCCAGGGACTTTATCCAGCTCAGTTAAGAAGGGCCCTTGTGTTTCCAATGTCACCACTTGTCAGATGAGGTGAGTCTTTGGAGATATCCTGTGCCTTCCTTGGGCCACAAGGTCTGTTGAGATGATGATAGTCACAAAGCTTGAGTGGATGTGGAGGGTGACAGGAAGTGTCAAGAGGGCTGTAACTAACTGCGGTTGGATAACCTCAGTAGGAGAAACCAGCAAATGCAAATGAAAAAAAGGTGTAACTTCCAGTTCTATCTGCAGCTCCACTGATTTTTTTTTTCCTCTTAGGCCATTTATAAAATAGCTCTAGGTGTTACTAGAGATCGCTGGGTTTTGCAGAAGGTGTAAAGAGGGGTTTTGTGAAATGTTCTCTTGGTTACAGTTTTGTTTTCATGGTTCCTTACTTTCCGGAGGACTTTAAAGTTAGCACCCCTTGTACTGGTCTGGTTCAGCCGCTCTTAGGAGACAGGGTATTAGACTTGAGACCATGTGAGTGTCTTCCCAGACATCCCTTCAGATGAAATTAGCACAGCACATTCCACTGAGGAAGGGTCGCTTATGGGGCATCTGGGTGTTTCCTGAGTAGCCAGGCAGCCACAGAACCCCTGCATGAGGCTCTGCTTCTGCTGTTCATCCCAGGATGTGTTTTGAAATCCACGTGCTTCTCTCAGGCTGTAGTTCCTGGTGGGCTCACATGCCAGGGTGCAGGTCCCCAGTGCTAAGGTTGGTTGTGTGGAAGGAGATGGCGCCTGCTCCTTTCTGAGACTATTGCAGCCGGGTTGGGAGTGAAGACCTGCTGGGCTCCTACTCGGGAAGGGATCCCCTCCCAACTGGGTGAGGTTCCTCCATCTCATAAGTTCCTCCTAGCCTCATGAATTTGTGGTTCGTGAGATCCTAAGGCCCTGGAGTTCCTCTGCGGTCTGTGTGAGTTTGGGCTTGCCTGTCTCCGGCTCCTCTCACCACTCCTGTGTTCTACGATTCGCATTTCATCTTAAGAGCCTGGGATGGGAACAGGGTCTTCTTTTCTCTGAGCGTTCTAAGGACTTCCAGTTTTACTCAGGCATCCAGCAAGTGACAGCTGAATCTCTCTTCAGAGCAATATTGATGCACTGAGGTTAAATTTAAAAAGTGGGAAAGATTTGCTGCTTCAGGTGGTTGGCATCAGAAACAAATATATGTTTGCTCCTTGCCTTACCCTCTGGGCAGTTTCTGCTTTAACTAAACACCGTGCATGTTATGTGAATGTTGCCCGGCCTTTGTACCCATTAAGGGATAGAGTGGGCTTTTTTTTTTTCTTTTTCTTTTTTTTTTCCTTTTTCTCTCTTGTCCTAAAAAGAATGTCATAGTTATGGCTCCTCTCATCAGGAGAGATGGCAAAAGAGACAGCAAGCAAAATCCGGAATGCATGTGCGAAGATTTCTGTGCCTTGCTAGAATGTTCACAGGCTTCAAATGCTGCCAGTCTTGCTTAGTGGAGCCTGCGCTGATCTTTTCACGTGAGGTACCCCGAGTTGTGTAAATAAGAAAATCGTTAGGGGGAAAAAAAAACTTCACTTTGATGAACCACTAACTTGGATTCTAATCAGTCATTAAAAAAATAAATAAATAACCTCAGCCCAACGGCACGTAAAAGGTCAAGTTTAAATATCAGTTGGGGGTTGGGGGCAGACCCCATAGCTCAAGTGTGCTATTGTATTTAGGGGGAGAGGCAGAAAATAGAAGCCGATGCTCACCTCTCTGGGCGACTGTGTGCCTCTAAGCCGTGGAGGGCAGGCAGTTCTTTCTAGGTCTTTCTCTGATGTAAACAAGAGCTTCCTGTGTTCACTTACCACCAGTAGAGGTGAGCTGATCCCAGGTGATATGGGGCAGTGAAGGACTGAGAAGGAACCTGGAGACGGAGGGAGTCTTTCTCAGACCCCTTTCAGGGACTGGGAGCTGACCTTGGAGTTTTCACTGCCCATTTCAACCTGCTTCCTGAACATGTATCATTTTGGCTCTTTCTGAGACCATCTGGCCCAGCAAATATTTGGGAACTGGTATAGTGGGCTAGGCACTGGGTAGAGGGTCAACGAGGATAAGGCTGCCCCCTGAAAGGGAGGCCAGCTGTTATGTGGCTCTGTATGTCATCATCCACGACCGACAAAGAGAACATGATGGGGCCTAGAGTAGACCTACGTTTTTCATGGTGCAGAAGCTCAGAAAAGGGAGATTGTCCTAGTGGTAAGGTGGGAGAGGGACTGGCAGCATTGACTGACAGGTAGGACATTGACTCGGGGAGCTGGTGAAGCCTAGAGATCATTCCTGAAATCTTAACTTTAGAACTGTGTCATGCAGTATGGGGGCCACTAGCCACGTGTGGCTTTCTACATTTACATTAGTTACAACTAGGAATTCTTTTCCTTGATGGCAGTAGCCACTTTGCAGGTGTTCCTTAGCCACACAGGGCTGGTGACTATGCCCGGGACCACATGCTTATGAAACAGTTAGTTCCTTGATTGCAGAAAGTTACGTTAGAGCTGCTTTAGATAAATCCGAGGCCCCATGGGGATTGGACATAGGCTTGGGTCGTGGGTTGCAGCTGTACTGTTTTCTAGTTCTAGAGGGTCTTATGTTATACCCACTGAATGACACTGATGTCTGACTTTCCCTGGATCCTAAGAGAGGGAATGAATGGGGTAATTCAAGAGGCGATGGTGCGCAACTTCTCCTAGGTCCTCTTTTCTTAAGGAGAGAAAACATAAAGGCTTCCACAAACCCCACAGTTTTCATAGGAGACAGCCAAACACAGCGAGTGGACTTTGTTTTCTAGTTAGTAACAGCTTGTAACACTTGCAATGTGACCTTGGTCTCCTTGGGTCCCAGTTGAGGGTGGCGGAGGGCTGGGTGGTACCTCTGCCGTGAGCTGTCCTCTGACTCTCTTCCTCTGTCCTTCCCACAGTGGGCGGTGAGATCCCCCTAGACATGCGGCTCGGGGGTGGGCAGCTGGTGTCGGAGGAGCTGATGAACCTGGGCGAGAGCTTCATCCAGACCAACGACCCGTCGCTGAAGCTCTTCCAGTGCGCCGTCTGCAACAAGTTCACGACGGACAACCTGGACATGCTGGGGCTGCACATGAACGTGGAGCGCAGCCTCTCAGAGGACGAGTGGAAGGCCGTGATGGGGGACTCATACCAGTGCAAGCTCTGCCGCTACAACACCCAGCTCAAGGCCAACTTCCAGCTGCACTGCAAGACAGACAAGCACGTGCAGAAGTACCAGCTGGTGGCCCACATCAAGGAGGGTGGCAAGGCCAACGAGTGGAGGCTCAAGTGCGTGGCCATCGGCAACCCTGTGCACCTCAAGTGCAACGCCTGCGACTACTACACCAACAGCCTAGAGAAACTGCGGCTGCACACGGTCAACTCCAGGCACGAGGCCAGCCTGAAGTTGTACAAGGTAAGACGGGCTCCTAGGGGCCCAGGCGCTGCTACCTCATGGAGTGTGAATGCGTAGAGACGGGGGAGCACTGGAGAGGGATGGACAGTCCCCATCAGGGTTCCGCTGGATGCTGCATGGCACCCTGGCCCTGGAAGGGGCAGAAGGTTCCTGTCCTGGGGTGCCCCTTTTCGGGGGGCAGGTCTAATTTACAGCAGCCCAGCACTATCATGTGGTGCCCCTTCTGCCCCGGCTTTCTTGACGCTTGGCTCTTCGTGGTCACCCTCCGATTCTGTGATGGATCTTTCTCCTTCAGAAGACAGGCTTCCTGTTTTCCATTCTTCTCCCTTCTCTGTGTTTCTTTTCTGCTGGACGTGTCCCCGGGATGGTTCTTTCATTTACTCATCCAGCCAACAGGCAGACACTGAGCACCTTCTGCAAACCAGAGGTGCGTACCAAGTGCTCTGAGCGTGCTCTTAGGTCAGCGTATACAGTAGTCTCACGCAGTCGCTGCCTTCACGAAGCTTCTGTTCTTTTTCTGGGGCAGGGTGGAGGTGACTGATGAACGCAGTGAGCAAGCCCTGCGGTAGGCTGCAAGGCTGCAGACATGCTGGGGAGAGCAGGGTCAGGGAAGGAGCCCTGGGCTCTTTATTTCCCCTGCTCCTGTATTTGATGTCCCTTTCTGTTCCTGATCACTGTCTTTTTCTAGGCTTCCCCTGGGCCTCTTGCCCCTCCGTCCTCCGTCCCCTTCCCCTGTCCACCCCTCCTGTCTGACCTCTCCCCCATCCTCCTCTGGACTCCATGGGCGGTAACAGAGGAGGAGGGGCCCCGGATACTGTAAATAGTCCTTTCAGTTGCAGGCAGGATTGCTCCAGACGTTTCTATTGATTTTCACTGGACTTAAAACCTCACCTTTTTCTCTAATCATCCCATAATGGCTTTAGTATGAACAATCAGGTACGAATTGCCATAAATCTCCCGGGCCTGCTTCCACACGCCCTCCACTCCCTCACGCTCTCTTTCCATTTTCCTCACTTTTAGTATCAGTCTCTCCTCTTTCCTTTCACACCATTGCTTACATCCGTGGGCCAAGGAGGGTCCCGTTTCTGCTGGCCCTGATCGAGTGTGACCCTTCCTCTCTTCTACTGTCATTTTAAATGGAGACCCCCATGTAAGGAAGTTTGTCCACACAGCTCTGTGCTGGGTCAGTGACTAATTCATCTTGTCGTCACCCATTCTCAGAGTGGTGGGAGCCCTTCATACCACAGACGAGAAACCATTTTAGGGAAAGGAAAAAAAGAAAAAAAAAAAAAAGAAAGCAAGACTGAGGAAGTGTGGGTAGAATGTTCTGGAACTGTCTGCTAACTCCAGCTGTCATGTACTGGGAAGGTCTGGACAGCACGCAGCCAACTCCCGTATCTTCAGTGAGCAAGCGTCTCACTGAACTGGCTTAGTTTTGTGCCACCATTGATAGAAAAGGCTCTTTGCAGTCAGTTGAAACTGGAGATCTGACGGGCCACTGGGTGGTGTGGACATGTTCGGGAAAAGCTTACGGAAAAAACAGTGGAAAAAAGAATTTCCAAAGGACCCAACTGAGTAAAATTTGTACAAAGGGCTCAGTGTGGCCATTGAAGATTGTCTACAACTTTGATGAAGGGTCCTTTAGAGGTGCCACGAAGCTGGCCTCTTCTGTCCGAGGGCAAAGATTGCCGTTTAGGTTTTAAAATGTGCACGGTGAATTCTGCACGTGGCCAGAGGTTTGACGGAAAGTCGGGCCCTCGGCTTTGTTTTTGAAGGACCTGGGAACCAGAGGACTTGCTAAGAATATCCCTTTTGTCCCCCAAACCATGTCCATGGATCATACACGGACAGTCAGGGTGAGGTGCTTCTGGGGTGGTTAGGAAGGAGCAGTCTGATTTTTCTGAGCATCCTCCTGGGCCTCATTAGTTTCTGTCTTGTTTTTTTAAGGTGGCGGATGCTCTTGCTCAAGATATGGGGAATGAAGGGGTCTAGGGGTCTTAAGTGTTGGCATGTGGGTCAAGTCTGAGAAGCAGCATCCAAAGGAAAGATGCCAGCATAGGGTGTTCGGCTGTACGTCACCAGGGTGACCAGCCCCTGGGGCTCTGGGCTGCACTTCCTGCACCAGGAGCCTAAGGTCCTCAGGGCGGCCTCATCTGTCATTGGGGAACGAATGTCCCTGCTTGCTGAGGCTCTGCTGGGGGTGCAGAGCTCTACCACCCATTTCCTGGACTGCACAGACAGCATTATCATTCCAATGCTTGCCCTGAGCCCATTTGTCCCTCAGTGTGACTAAGACAAACTTCTCTTGCCACTGAGGGGGCTCTCTCTCTGTGTTCCGTCCATCCTCGAATTCGGGGTGGGGTTTGGAGGTGCTTTGAGAGTCCCTTTTCCTCTAGGCCCTGGTGTGGCCTGCAGTAAATGGAGATTGATTACATGTTATTTTTCCTCTTGCTAATGTAATCCATTAGCCCGGCACATGCATAATCAGTTTAGAGCCCAGTTAACTGGATGTAATCGAGTTCTTTACTGTCTGCTAGAGAAACCGCTCCAGATGCGCTGACCCCGGGAGGGCACCGGGCTTCTTCTCACCCACAGCCTGCCTTACTTGTTCCTGCTGGGCTTCCCACCCCACCCCATCCTGGTTTCCTGGCTAATTATTTATCATCAGCCAGGGAGATCCCCCCCAAAGTTGCTTTTTTTGCTGCACCCACTGAAGTGGCCTCCCTGCGGGTCCCCTGCCCTCTTCCATTCAGCAGAGGCTTTATCCCCCTCCTCTTCCTCATACTGGAGGAAACAGAGCCATGGCCGCAGGAGAAAAGCAGTGACGTGGCTTTCTGGTTTACCATTTGAACTCATACCAGTGCCGGGGTCATTGCCCTTGATGTCATAAATGCTGGTACCCGTGGGACATCTCACATCTGTAAACCTGAGATACTCCAAAACATGAGAGTTTTTGAGCACCAACCTCATGCCACAGGTCAGGTGGAAAACCCCACACCTGTCCTCATGTGATATAACACATGAGAACACAGGTGCACTAAAATACTGTACAAAATTCCCTTAAGGATATGCGTGAAAGGTGTGTATGAAACATAAATGAATTTTTCTTTTAGATCTGGGCCCCATCCCTAAAACATACGCAAATCTTATGTATATGCACCTATCTCCAAACATTATGTGTGTGAAAATATTCCAAAGTCAGAGAAAATCCCAAGTCCAGAAACGCTTCTGGTTCCCGAGCATTTGATCCCAAATGCTGCTGTGTCAGGGCTGAACTTTCGGGAAGCGCGGGCTGATTTCTAATCCAGACACAAGAAAGGGTTGGGCTCATCGCGGAAGCCTGGCGATACTATCCCTGTTGCCTGGAATTGTCTAGTTTTGATTACTGTGTGATGCCAGTGTTTAAATGAGATTAATATTCACCGTATTCTTCTTTCCGCCTCCTAGAGGTAGAGCAGAGAGGGGGAAGGCTGGAGAGTCCAGGGCATCCGATGGAAGCTCCGTTTCTTCCTCTGGACCCCAGGGGACTTCTGCAGAGTGTTCATGGTGGAATTCCTTGGGCTCTTTTTTTTTTTTTTTGTCTTAAACAGTGGCTGGCACTCATCCAGCCCCTCATGGTCATGTATCTGTGTCCTAACACTCACCATTGTGGGGGCCTCCGCCAGAGCCTGCAGCAGAGCCGGGAGGTTGGGCTCTTGGTCTCTGTGCTTAGTGACTCCGCTGGATTGGAAGTGTGCTGGGGAGAGGGTCCTTGGCTCTCCACCAGTGCCAAGCTCCAAGGCCTCAGTTCCACCTTTTTCGGCCTTTACATGTAAATACCTCACTCCCCTCCCCACCCGCTTCATCCCCATGGAGATGTGGGGTGCCCCCGCTCATCCTAACGAGGACAGCGGCCAGTACTGACAAAGGCCTGTGGTGCGGGGCAGTTGCTGAGGCTCTCCTGTGCTTATTCCGCCTCCCAGTCCACGGGGCATGGATGGCGCCCTCTGGAATTTATGGTCTTTCCTTCTTGGGGGAGGACGGGGACAGGAGGGCAGTTGGGAACCCGTGCACACCTGCTGGCTCTCAGAGTCTAGTTTTCACGTGGCTGTCTTTCTTCACCTGAGAGTCCTGGGAGGGGCAATCCATCAACTTCAGCAGGTAGATTAAGACCCCCACCAGAATCCATCAACCAGACAGTTCCCAGCTGAGGCCCGTTGGTTTGGGCCAAGACCCAAGGTTTCACGTTAATCTTAAATTACAACCAGAGAGGCTCCTCTACCATGGCTGTGTGTCTGGGCCGCCTGTGAGCCGCCCTGGGCCAGCAAGGCACGCAGGAGATGAGAAGCCAGTGTCTAAGCCACCTTTACTGGGCGGGAAGTAGGCCGTAGAGTTAAAGCATGTTGTAGACAACACACACACACACACACACACACACACACACACACACACACACACACACAGAGCCATGGGCTTCTACTCTTGCCGTCCCCTGAGGAGATGTGGTGTGGAAGGACACGAGAGACCCTCCATCCGGCTCTGTGTTCTCACTTCTTAAGAGAAACTCACTCTCCCAGTAGAGCCACAATACCACTGTGTGGCGGACGGACAAACCAGAGGACAGAAGCCATCAAATGATGCTTTGGTTTGAAATCTCCATTCTCCGTCCCGATCCTGGGTGCAGTGGAGAAGGGGGTGGGTCTTGAGGAGACAGCTGACCCTCGAGGCCCACAGGCAGCCACTGGTGACCTTTGTCTTGCTCTGACAGCAAAGAGCACAGATCCTCGGGGCGCCCCCCACGTGGCCGCGTGTTCCCGCGCTGGTCCCCTGGCGATTCCGGCGCCAGTTCCCTCCACCCTTGTTTTCTCCTTAGGTGGACCTCTTTGTCGTTCAGTGCGCACCTCGGTCGCCTTCTGCCTGCCCCTTGGAGCCTTCCTGAGGTGGGTTAGAAGGTGTGAAGGGCTCTGTGTTTGGGCTGCTTTAGCACATTTAGCCTTCCTGCCCTCCGTCTCCTCCGGAGT